GCAATTTTATCAGCGGGCATCTGCCTTCCTCGGCACCTCAGATTCTCATGAGTCTAATTCCCAGTATGAGGCAGGAGCCCTCCCCTCACAGACATTCCTGCCTGTGCTTCCTCCCGGTATCCCGCTTTCCCACTTACCTCAGGGCTTTGGTCTCCTTCCCCCGGTGAACCTAGTTTAAAGCCCTCCTCACTAGGTTAGCCAGCCTGCTCGCGAAGATGCTCTTTCCTCTCTTCGGGAGGGATAGGATACAGAAGGACCTAGACAAATTGGAGGATTGGGCCAAAAGAAATCTGATGAGGTTCAATAAGGATAAGTGCAGGGTCCTGCACTTAGGACGGAAGAACCCAATGCACAGCTACAGACTAGGGAGCGAATGGCTAGGCAGCAGTTCTGCGGAAAAGGACCTAGGGGTGACAGTGGACGAGAAGCTGGATATGAGTCAGCAGTGTGCCCTTGTTGCCAAGAAGGCCAATGGCATTTTGGGATGTATAAGTAGGGGCATAGCGAGCAGATCGAGGGACGTGATCGTTCCCCTCTATTCGACATTGGTGAGGCCTCATCTGGAGTACTGTGTCCAGTTTTGGGCCCCACACTTCAAGAAGGATGTGGATAAATTGGAGAGAGTCCAGCGAAGGGCAACAAAAATGATTAGGGGTCTGGAACACATGACTTATGAGGAGAGGCTGAGGGAGCTGGGATTGTTTAGCCTGCAGAAGAGAAGAATGAGGGGGGATTTGATAGCTGCTTTCAACTACCTGAAAGGGGGTTCCAAAGAGGATGGCTCTAGACTGTTCTCAATGGTATCAGATGACAGAACGAGGAGTAATGGTCTCAAGCTGCAGTGGGGGAGGTTTAGATTGGATATTAGGAAAAACTTTTTCACTAAGAGGGTGGTGAAACACTGGAATGCGTTACCTAGGGAGGTGGTAGAATCTCCTTCCTTAGAGGTTTTTAAGGTCAGGCTTGACAAAGCCCTGGCTGGGATGATTTAACTGGGAATTGGTCCTGCTTCGAGCAGGGGGTTGGACTAGATGACCTTCTGGGGTCCCTTCCAACTCTTATATTCTATGATTCTATGAGTGCCTGGTCCTGGGAGGGGATTTTAATACAACCTTCGAGGAGCGGAATCGCTCGGGGACCGAGCAGAGCTCAGCCACCGTGGACACCCTCTGGGAGATAGTCAGACATCACTCCCTAGTGGACATCTGGTGTGACCACCACCTGGATAACATTTCCACATTCACCTTTGTCTCGGTGGAAGCCCATCGGTCAAGCCAATCCCGGTTGGACCGCATTTATTTATCACGCTTCCATCTCTCACGAGGCAACTCCTCCAGCATTCGGCTGGCCCCATTTTCTGACCATCACCTAGCCACCGTGACAGCCTCCCTCTGTGCGGAGAGGCCGGGGCTGGCCAATTGGTATTTTAACAACAGTCTGTTGGAGGATGAGGGCTTCGTGATGTCCTTCTGGGAATTCTGGCTGGCCTGGCGAGGGCAGCGGCATGGCTTTCCCTCATCGCGGCGATGGTGGGACCTGGGGAAGGTGCGCGCCCGGCTTTTCTGCTGCGACTACACCCGGGGCACCAGCTGACGGAGAAATGTGGTGATGGAGCAGTTGGAACGGGAGGTCTTAGAGCTGGAGAGACGTTTGGCCGCCAGCCCCGAGGACCCGCTCCTCTACGGAGCATGCTGGGAGAAGCGGGAGGAGCTCCGGGCCCTCAAGGACCAGCGGGGCCGGGGCGCCTTTGTTCGATCCTGCATCCGCCTCCTTCGGGAGATGGATCGCGGCTCCCGCTTCTTCTATGACCTGGAGAAAATGAGGTGGGCTAAGAAACACATCACCTGCCTCCTGGCAGAGGACGGCCCCCCCTTTACGGAACTGGTGGAGATGTACGGGAGGGCCCGAGCCTTCTATGCAAGTCTTTTCTCCCTGGATCCGACCGACCCTAGTGCTTGCAGAGTGCTCTGGGAGGAGCTCCCTACGGTCAGCATGAGCGACCGAGACCGGCTAGAGTTGCCTCTCACTCTGGCTGAGTTCTCGGAAGCCCTCCGTTGTATGCTCACTAATAAGTCTCCTGGTATGGACGGGCTGATTGTGGAGTTCTACTGCGTGTTTTGGGATGTCCTCGGCCCAGACCTAGTCACCATCTGGGCTGAGTCTCTGCAGAGCAGGGTCCTCCCTCTTTCGTGCAGGTGAGCTGTGCTTGCCTTATTGCCGAAGGGGGACCTCCGCAATTTACGAAATTGGAGCCTCGTCTCGCTCCTCAGCACGGACTACAAAATCGTAGCGAAAGCAATCTTGCTGTAGCTAGAGTCTGTGCTGGCAGACGTGATCCACCCAGACCAGACCTACAGCGTCCTGGACCGCAGAATCTTTGATAACCTATTTATGGTTCGGGACCTTTTGGAACTCGGATGTGGAGACGGTCTGTCGTTCGCCCTCCTGTGCCTAGATCAAGAGAAGGCTTTCAATAGTGTGGACCACGGGTACCTCCTGAGCACTCTGCAGGCGTTTGGCTTCGGACCCCAGTTTGTGGGTTTTCTCTGGGTGCTGTATGCTTCCACAGAGAGTCTGTTTAAGCTCAACTGGACCCTGACTGAACCGGTCAGCTTCAGGCGAGGAGTACGGCAGAGGTGCCCCCTCTTGGGCTAGCTGTACGCTTTGGTGATTGAGCCCTTCCTCTGTCTCCTCCGCAGGAGGTTGACCGGGTTGGTGCTGCAGGAGCCGGAGCTGCGGCTGGTCCTGTCAGCGTATGCTGATGACGTGATCCTCGTGATCCAGGACCCGGGTGACTTGGCGTGGGTGGAGGCTTGCCAGGCCATCGATTCGGCAGCCTCCTCCGCCCGGGTCAACTGGGTCAAGAGCTCTGGCTTGGCGGTAGGAGACTCGCGGCAGGCGAGCTCCCTCCCACCCGCGCTTCAGACTATCCGGTGGAGCGCGGGTCCGCTGCTCTACCTCAGCGTTTACCTTTCTGCCACACATCCCTCTCCGCCGGAGAACTGGGAAAATTTAGAGGGCGGGGTGATAGAGCAGCTCCGGAAATGGACTGGACTACTCCAATGTCTCTCCCTCCGAGGGAGAGCACTGGTGCTTAATCAACTAGTCCTGTCCATGCTCTGGTACCGGCTCAACACCCTGATCCCAGCCCCAGGTTTCCTGACCAACCTCCGGACATCAATTCTAGGGTTCTTTTGGTCAGGAATGCACTGGGCCCCTGCAGGGGTTCTTCATCTACCCCTGAAGGAAGGAGCACAGGGCTTGAAGTGTCTGCACACTCAGGTCCACGTCTTCCGCCTCCAGGCCCTATAGAAGCTCCTCTATGGTGCAGGCAGTTCAGCGTGGAGCATACTGGCGGACGCCATCCTATGCCACATCCGAGGGCTCCCATATGATCATCAGCTCTTTTATCTCCGTCCGGGAGGTCTTCCGCAAGACCTCTCTGGGCTGCCGGTCTTCTACCAGGACCTCCTCTGGACTTGGAAACTGTTTTTAACGACCAGATCCATGGCGGCCACCAAGGGGGCAGATCTCCTCGCAGAGCCCCTGCTACACAACCCCCAGCTCCGTGTGCAGGTGGCGGCGTCCCGCTCGGTGCTCCAGAGCTTGATCCTGTCAGAAGTCACGAGAGTTGGAGTCCTCCTGGACTACGACCGGGTAGACTGGCTGGATCCCCTGATGCTTGCTCGGCCCATGGGGCTCTCCAGACCTCGTACCTCGCATAACCTACAGCCGGTATGCTTCCAAACTGCGCTAAGGAAACATCTACACATGCTCGTGCGCCACTCCCTTCACGCCCTCACCCTAGTGTCCTGCCCCGACACAAAGTGGCAAGACCTTCTGCCACCTTTGGAGGGTGAGCATCCTTAGTGGGCCAGCCTATATTCCACCTTGGTTCCGAGGCCCGTCGGGGACATCAGCTGGCGGCTCCTTCACGGAGCTGTAGGCACGGGCACGTACTTGGGGCGGTTCACCCCCATCCCAGATACTTGTCCCTTTCGCGGTGTGAGGGAAACCCTGGCGCACATATATTTGGAGTGCGCCAGGCTGCAGCCCCTGTTCCGGCTCCTCACAAATCTTCTATTATGTTTTTGGTTGCATTTTTCCCCTCAGCTTTTTATTTATGCACTCCCCATCTGTGGCCTCACAAAGTCGCGGGATCTCCTAGTTAACCTCCTCCTGGCCCTCGCTAAAACAGCCATCTATAAAACCAGAGAGAGGAGGCTGGCCGATGGAGTTTCCTGTGACTGTGGGGCCGTTTTCCGATCCTCGGTCCATTCACGTATCCAGGCGGAGTTCCTCTGGGCAGCGTCCAACTCCCTTGATGCTTTTGAGGAGTGGTGCGTGCTGTCCGAGGTTCTCTGCTCGGTGTCCCCATCCGGTTCCCTTTGTTTGACCCTTTGATTGGGGGAGAGAGTAAGGGACCCCAGCCCCAGCCATTGCTGCTGTGGACACCACTACCTTAGAGGGGTCCTTTCACACGTGGATGCATGTGCTCCCCCCTCGGATTGTCCACCCCACAGCCTGCCCCTCTTGTTGGGTGCTTTCAAAGGAGGCAATTGTTGGTGACACTGGGTGTGGCGCCAGTAACTCGACGGGGTGGCAGACCTTGAGAGTCGATGAAGCCCCCTCGCTCTGGGCCACGAGGTAACTCGGAAGGGTGGAAGACGAGAGTCAAGGAAGCCCCCCACTCTGGGCCCAGGCAAGCTTGAACACTTCCCTCCCCTGAAGCTAATGAGAAAACAATTGTGTTTGGCTGCTGTGTTACACATTGCATATGCTGTTGGTTTAGTTTTTTAAGTGTGTTATGCAAATAAAAACACCTTTTTTTTGCTACAAAAAAAAAAACACCCTCCTGCTTGCTGCCCTCTGGCCATGTTGTATCACAGCTTGTAATGTTAGGAGGTGATTGGTGCAGATGATGCACTATGAAGGCTTAAGAAAACTGCCTGTTGCTTTGCAGGGCTCTGTTTGCTTTCAATTAATGGAATATAGATTGCTTTCAAACCAAAACTATTCTTTTATTAAAAAGCAACCACCAGAGGAGAGAGACAAACAAACAAAAAAGAAAAATGAATCAGCACTGTGGGGGATGGGGGAAGGGACGGTCCCATGAGGAGGTGAGGTCCCGGGATGGTTAAAGATTTGTGTATGTCCAGGTATTATATGCAACCTTATCCTTTGCAGTACAGTGCAGCGGGTACTGTACTTCAGCACGAATAAACTGCAGAGGGACGGGTGTGGAGTGCAGTGGGTACTGGGAGTCCACAGGGCTGGACTGTGATGGGGCAGGGGTGGAATGCAGCAGGTACAGACTGGAGGCAGGAGGTTGAGAAGAGTGTGTTGACGGTGTCAGGGAGGTGCAAGGGAAAGAGTTTTGCAATAGTGTCTGCAAGGGAGGGTGGGCATGGAGCTGCTTGGTTGGCAGTGCGAGTAGCGCCTGGACTGTGTCCGCTTGGCACTCCATAACGTTTAAGAGCCCATACGTGGCTTTGTTCTGGCGCACCTCATTCTCCTTTCAGTCCCTCTTCTCGCTGTCCCGACACTCCTTCAATTCTTGTCTTTCGGCCATGGAGTGCATCATGATATCATGCAGAAAATTCTCTTTAGTTCTTCATGGCCACTTTCTAATTCTGAACAGCCGTCAATAACAAAGAGGGAGACTGGGCTCTCAAGGTCATATCTGAAAGTAAAAATGCAACATTTTACACAAGCAGTATTGTTTGCAACACACAGACCATTGATGCAGTGATTTAAAATACAACCACTATTCACATACCTATCACTAACTGGCTGTCCCCAGCCAAGCACACATGAGCCCCATGACTGCCAAAATGGTAACAGCGGGGGTAGGGGAAATCACTGTCCAGGACGGTACTATACAGCGGACACGTGGCTCTTGGGGAGAGACAGCACTGTAGGCAGGGGGCCTTATAATCATTTGTGTGCCCACAATTTTCCACAGGCTGTTTCCATTACGGAAGATATCTTGCTCCTGAGGGTGAGCAGGGAATCAAAGGATGGTCTTCTCCAAGACTGTGGTGTCCGCCTTGGCCCTTACGTGGCTCACCTGTGTGCAGCAATGGTCTCCGCCCCTCCTCCCCCCAGTGACTCCAGAGTGGCACAGGAAAATTACCCTTAATGGGGCAAGAAACAAAGCAACTCTGCCAAAGATCCTGCAGCAGCGGATTGCCCAGTATCATGAGAGTTTCATGGAGATCTCTGAGGCAGATTCCCATGAAGTGAGGGAGTCAATCATCACCCTGTTCCGCCACTCAGACTAGGCACGTGGTGGTATGCACATCATACAGACACAAGCCTGCTTTCTGCAACCCTCCTGTCCCCAACAACTCGCTTCAGTGATTCCCCAGATCAAAGCCACTTACCAAAGGCCTCCTCTTCTGTTTGTGCTTCCCCAACTCTGATTGCTGTGACTGGCTAGCCTCCTCCGGGGTAGAGAAGAACTCCGGGCTCCATGCATCTTTGACCTCCGAGTTGTCCTCTGCCTCTGGGTCCTCCTCCACATCCTCGTCCAAGATTTCCTCCTCCCGGCTGGCATATGAGCCACCAAAGTATCCACAGCGGCCTTCACAGTGGAGGTGGGATCACCAGTGAGTATCGCTCCCAGCTCTTTGTAGAAGTGGGAGCTTGTGGGTGCAGCACTGGAGTGGCAGTTTGCTTCCTCTGCCTTGTGGTGGGTGTTCCGCAGCTCCTTCACTTTGACCCTGCACTGCAGTGTGTCCTGGTCATGGCCCTTTTCTCTCATACATCGTGAAATCTGTCTGTAGGTATCATAATTTCCACATCTGGAGCACAGCTGGGAGTGGAAAACCTCCTCTCCCCAAATGCTGATGAGGTTCAGCAGCTTGGCATTGCTCCAAGGGGAGGGATCACCTGGTGCGTGGAGCAGGCATGGTCACCTGGAAAGATGCGCTGAGACCACTGCATGCATCACCGAGCAAACAGGAAGGGGACTTTCAAAATTTCCAAGGAATTTAAGGGTGGGGTTCATGGTCGGTCACCTGAGGGCAGTGCAGTAGAGTTCAAACTGATGACCAGAGAAGCGAGAACAGGGACTGTGGGACACCTCCCGGAGGCCAATCACAAGCCCTGTAATCCACCAGAGTGTCTACACCGACCCCGCGGCGCTGTACCCCTGGTGCAGAGAGCTGTACAACACTTGTTGGGGTGGGTTTTTTACAGCGCTATAGCTGCGCAGTTTCTGTGCACTAAGTGGCTTGGCCGTGCGTACACCTCAGACGTTACACCACAGAAAGCTGCTTTCCTGTGCAGAAGCTTGCCAGTGTAGACAAGCTGTAGATGGTTAACATAAAAATGAAAGACTGGTAATACAGGGTCAGACCAATGGTCCATCTCGCCCAGCGTGCTGCCTGAGAATGACCAGTGACAGATGTGTCAGAGGGAATGAAAATAACAGGTTTGTTGACCCTCTCACCCTTACCTTTAACTTCATTGTTGTCAATTCCTACTTATCCTATCTTACCACACCTCCCCCGAGGTCTCTGGGAAAATCAGGAGTGAACCACTCCTTTGATACAGACATGTTCCAATCCAGCTGAATTGAGGCAGACTTTGGGCTAATGTCAGTTTGGAAAAGGCCCACTTAACCCAGCAGGCTTCTCATAGTATCTGTTGCTGTGAACTGCATGTCGTGTGGGTGTGTGAACCCCAAAGACATCAAACATGAAGAAACACAAGGCCAGTTCTGAGGAGGTTTTCAGAGCCAGGCCTGGGGGTTAAACAGGTGTGATCAAAAGGAAAAGGGGCCTCAGCACGTATAAAAATGACTGATTGCAAAAACAAAACAAAAAGTAAATTAAAAAACCAAACCAAACCAAAAAAACAACCCAGAAAAGCTACCATCACACATCCATCACCATGTTAGATTTTGATATCTCCTGCCTGATGTGACACCTTTAATTTGCGAGAAGGGACCTGGGGAACTCTCTGGCTGTTCCCCTCTCACTGAATAAAAGGTTCACATCTTGTCTCAAATAATTTTCCTCTTAACAGAAGATTTTAAAATTTATCAAAATAAATTCCATTTGAAATACAAATAATTACAGCTATACTGGGTCTCTGTTCTCGTACATGCTATTTCTCTCACATATTCCCCCACTCTAATTCCTTTGGAGTGAGGTTTTAATTTCAGGATTAGCCACCATTTCCTATATAGTAGGAGGGGGCAGGGAGAGAACTAGAAGAAAAGCTGAATTATATTGTAACACTGAAAGTTATCACAGAATCAGCCTCTTTCATTACACTAATTAACTTCATGTTTAATTTCATTGTTGCTGGTAACAACTTATTCAAAGATTACAAAATATAAACCTATAGGGCAGTTTTCTCTTGATTCCCATTTCCACCCAGTGAGCTTTGTGTGAAGTCACATTCTATAATAACCTAGGAGCCTTCCATTTCTGTGAGTTCATTTCTCCCTGGGTCTTCTCCCGTAAGTGTGGGTGGAAAGGGGTCTCACACTATGTGGGAAAGTTGCATGATGAGAAAAACCACCTGTGCTCTATTTTTACACTTTCTAATCTTTCAAAGTAGCAGGAGGCGGAGAAATGATACAAATGCATAAGACTCAAGACCAAAACTAAGAGACAAAACCACAGAGTCAGGACTCAGCATCCAAGTATCCTGTGAACTTGGAATCTGATACATTCCCTCATTGGCTACCATCATTTGTCCAGCATGGAAGTGCTTCTTGTCCAACAAGGCAGCCAGATTGGGACCCATAGGCATGGAATGGCTCTGAAGGAATTGGCTGTTTCTCTCTGTGCTTCATCTAACTTTGGATCCAAATGGTAAAAGACAGTTGTTCCCAATTTAATCATGGCATTCTTTAGGAGTGTGATCAATGCCACTTAACTAGGGAGCAGCGTTCTAAAAACAGTTTACCTGGGCCACAGGTCACCACAGCGTCCATCTCTTTGGGTGAAAATCAACCACTTGTACCTGCAATTTCTACCTGAGTTCTTGTCAAATCATTGACCTTACTTGGAGTAATTTTACACTTCTCGGGGGTAGAATTCTTCACCAACCACACAACGTATCAGTCGCGATAATGAGGTATAAATCCCCCAAATATGCCCTTTTATTTCTTTAATCTGGTGGCACAGATTTAAAATTAGAGACTAAATTCAGGTGCATTTTAGAATCCCTGTAAGACACTAAACGTCAGGTAGCTATTAAAAATAGGTATCTTTCTGCAGCTCTATCACATTCAACACGGATTCTATTTTCTACACATTTGCAGCATCTCCCAGGGGTGAGCTGAACAGAAACGTCACTTCCATTTTTCCCATCTCTACCTAAAAAGGGATTGTATTTCCCAAATAATAGGCAACATGCACCTGATTAGGAAGGAGATATCTTCAAGAGCCATCTCCTGCAGGGCCTGGGCCAGAACCGCAGTGGGAGCCAAATGTATGAGTATTTTGCCTATTTACATGTCATTTACTAAGGAATCCTCTTTCCAGCCCTTTAGAAAAAATATTGACCTAAGCAATTGAACAATAGAGGATTGGGATGGTGATGGGGAATCCTTCTGACTTACCCTATCTTCTTCTGTTGTTACAGAGGGTGAAATGACATTTTTCCCTATCCCTGCCCTATTCCTGCTCTTTGTTATAGTTCAATATATTTTAAGTGAGGAAAATGGTAGCAAAAATATCTGCTCTCCAGCACAACCTGAAGTAACATCAGAGCAATTGGGAAAGAAACAATTTGTTCCCAAAGGGGAAACTTGATGACTAACAATTGCTTTGAAATGGGGGAACAGTATAACCGGGATGCTCAGAGTTTGTTTAGACTAGGAAAAGTGATGGGAGTTTAGGTCAGGCCAAGGGGAAAGCTAATGTCAACCACTGCTCCTGGGCTGTATCTGCTCTACAACTATAACTGTCTTTTTACACCAAGATCACTAACTTGAGCAGCCAATGCCATGTACAGTCCTATTGGATGTAAGGCACAGGTAGTTTTTTCCTCAGTGTAGCTTGTTGGGATCAAACCATCTCTCTGGAGCTGATGAACATTCCTGGCTGGAGGGGGACACACTCTTATGACTAAAAAGGAAAGGAGTTGATAGAAAAGATCACAGGACTGACCCCAAAGAAGGGGGAGCTGCAAAAGGCAGAAGCAGGCAACTCATCTAGGGGAGCTGAGAGACCATGGTGAAGATGGTGCAAAGATCACTATACATTAGTAAATGTAATACTTTTAAAAACAAATCTTTGGCCAGCCCTAGTCCAGGCATTTCTTACAGTTCTCTCCCATGTGGATTTCCTGATGTCTAATAGGGAATGACCGCTGATTGAAGCTTTTCCCACACGCAGAGCATGTGTAGGGTCTCTCTCCACTGTGGATTCTACGATGTCTGACAAGGTCTGAGCGCTCAATGAAGCTTTTCCCGCACTCAGAGCATGTGTAGGGTCTCTCTCCTGTGTGGATTCTCTGATGTCTGCTCAGGGTAGAGCTCTGTTTGAAGCTTTTCCCGCACTCAGAGCATGTGAAAGGCATCTCTCCTGTGTGGATTCTACGATGTGTGATAAGGTTTGAGCTCTGATTGAAGCTTTTCCCACATTCAGAGCATGTGTAGGGCATCTCTCCTGTGTGGATTCTCCGATGTGTGATAAGGGCAGACCTCCGACTGAAGCATTTCCCACATTCAGAGCACGTGTAGGGTTTCTCTCCTGTGTGGATTCTATGATGTGTAATAAGCTGTGAGTGCCGATTAAAGCTTTTCCCACACTCAGAGCATGTGTAGGGCGTCTCTCCTGTGTGGATTCTCCGATGTGCGATAAGGGCATAGCTCCAACTGAAGCGTTTTCCACACTCACAGCATCCATAAGGTTTCTCACCCGTATGGATTCTCCGATGTATGATAAGGTATGAGCTCCGATTGAAGCGTTTCCCACAATCAGAGCATCCATAAGGTTTCTCACCCGTGTGGATTGTCTGATGTGTGATAAGGTGTGAGCTCCGATTGAAGCGTTTCCCACACTCAGAGCACATGTAGCGTCTCTCTCCTCTGTGGATTCCCTGATGTGTGAAAAAGTCTGAGCTTCCATTGAAGGTTTTCCCACATTCATGACATATGTAGCATGCCTCTTCCAAATTGATTCTCCCGTGTGTAATAAGGTCTGAGTGGCTACTGAAGTTTTCCTCTGGCATCTGCTGAGTCTCACAGGCTTTTGCTGGGAGTGCACAACTCCCGGAATCATTCCCTTTGGATCTTCCTGATAACGTCCCATATGGTTCTACTTGCTCAGCATCTTCCTTCTGGGGATTCTCCTTATTCTCACTCACCATTCCAACAGCTGATGGGAGACAGAGAGAATCCAGACATAGGTCACTCCCTGTGCCGGAGAGAAAGGAAATCTCAGAGACAGGAATGGAAAAAGGGATGAACAAACCAAAATATGTGCGGGAGAGAACAAACCTATCAGGAGCTGATTTTCCCCAAACCCTTCCCCAGAGAAGAGAGGAAGGGATCAGTTTTGGTCAGCATCTCACCAGAACACTCAGGGGAAAGCGAGATCAGGGAGGGACCTGCTGCCAGTTGTCAGTCAGGATAGGTGTGAAGCCATGAGTGACATCTGCCTAATGATTCCACATCTGCAGGGAACAATCCTGAACTTGGAGAGCTCACAAGGTCTTTGTAGGGCATCCCAAATGTTTCCTGTATTCATGGACAGTTTTTGAGTTGCTTTAACCAATTCCTCACCTGTGCAGGCAGCTCTTGGGAGCACTTCTTTCTCAGAGCAGTGGGGGCCTGGGACCCACGGCTCTTCCCCTCGTTCCAGCTGCGAGATCACATCAGGCTTGGAAACTGGAAACCCTGCTCAAGGCAAAGAAAACAAGGAAGATCAGTAGAATTTGTGGGATACTTGTCACAAAGAATATTCCATGATTTTAAGCCCAGCTCATTTTTATGCAGAAACATCTCAAGGCCAACTTCCTTTGCTCAACCCAGGAGAGTTGTTATTATTCTAAATCATATTCATTACCTTAGTGCCTAAGGACCAACTAACACTGGGTCCCCATTGTGCTAGGACAAGTACAAACACAAAACAGTGGATGGCCCATGCCCTGAACAATTTACAATCTAAATAGACAAGACCGACACAAAATGGGGGAAGGGGTACAACCCACTGTGAGAATATAGATATTCTGGGCCTGCCTGTAAAGCGTATACTTTAAGAACTTAGGTGTATTTTTATCACTTAGCTAGTTACAGGGGTATAAAAACAAAGAATCAAAATCTCAGTCTGCCTGTGTATGGACCTTCTCTCACTAGGATAGTCTGAGGCCATGTTCTTAGGCTAAAGAAGTGGTCCCCAACCTTTCTTGTGGGAATACCATATTGCTATTCCCAGAAGACTGTGGCGGGAGCTGGACACCCCGCCGCCGAAATGCCAAGTAGAAGAACCGGACACCAAAATGCCGCCGAGAAGCGGTGGTGGCAGCAAGAAGAACCACTGCCGAAATACCGCCGAGAACCAGTGGGGTGTCCTGGGGACGCACAAAAATGCCCCGGCAGGCGCCATGGCGCCCATGGGCACCGTGTTGGGGACCACTGGGCTAAGGCCTTTGGCTAAGCAGCAGGGGCAGCCATAAGCCGGGAAGCGAACGATCACATTGTCATATCCCAAACCAGTCACATAAGGTGCTATTGGGTTGTTTGGAAGACAATCCTGTCCAGATAGTGCCCATCACCACCAGACAAAGAAACAGATCTTAAGATGCTTAAAGAAAATTTAGTTTGATATCATCCTGTCTGGCAAGAAAACACTTATCAATGGTCGTCGTACCCTCATTTCTGTATTGTTTTATCTTTATGGCCACCACAATTGTTAATCTGTCTGGTTCTCTAATTGTTTCTGTCTGCTGTATAATTAATTTTGTTAGGTGTAAGTTAATTAGGGTAGTAGGATATAATTGGTTAGAGAATTATGTTACAATATGTGAGGATTGGTTAGTTAAATTTCAGTAAAATGATTGGTTAAGGTATAGCTGAGAATATAACTATATAAACTGGGGTTAAACAGGGGGGAAGGAAAATTGGAATCAGATTTATTAAGGGGGAGAATGGGAACAGGGACACAAGCAAGGTTCTGCGGCATCAGAGCTGGGAAGGGGGACGTGGGGGAAACACTCTGCGGCATCAGATCTGGGAACGGAACATTGGGGAACAGACTCTATGGGTGTATAGCGATAAGCCCGATTGGTGTGAATGGTTTTGGAATATGCTTAGATTAGGGACCCCCCACAGCTCTAGATCCCCAAACCTCTCCTCCCTCCCACGCACCCACCCAGCCCACTTCCTGTGTGCCCTTCCTCCCCTTCTTCCCATTACTTTCAGCCGGCACCACCTCCCGGCACCTTGGGAGCTTCTGGTGTTCCCTCCTTGTCTCTCACTACCTCATCCCTCCCTGCTGCTTCTTAGCTCTAACCCTGCACACACCCTCGCTATTTCCTGGCATCTCAGAATTATCTACTCCCCCTTCTCCTCCCGTCCCACGGCTCTGTTATCCCTTCACCTGTGGGGTCCTGAATGGCAACATTATGAACTCTCCTATCAAAAGAGGAGCTCATCTGATGGTCACACAAGCCATGCATCAGTCATCGACCTATTTACTCAATTTAGAATTCTACAGGTGGCATATTTTCCTCTTAAAATGAGGAAAAGGCATGAAAGCTGTAGTTATGAATGTATCCAATAAGGATACATTAAATGCAATTTTTAAATGACTGACGGCACCAAAAAGGCACATGTCCAAAAATTATTCTAGTGGGTGGGAGATAAGGAAAAAAAAGGAGGGCAAGGAAACTTGTCAAAACTTGTATGACGAATAAAGATATAAAGTTATTACTACTCAAGTTCTTTAGAGACCCCACAGCTTCTAATAACCCAGGGGACAGGACTCCTTACCCAGCAATAACACCGTTTCATAGTTCTCCTGCATGACATCCCTGTAGAGGGCTCTCTGAGTGGGGTCCAGCAGAGCCCCCTCTTCTCTGGTGAAATACACAGCCACTTCCTCGAAAGTCACCGGCCCCTGAAAGAGCAAGAGTCCAACACTCAGTACCTGCTGCCCCAGTCATAACCCCACTATTCAAGGAACAGCAGCACCAGGTAAATGGAAGCTCTGGGAGGCACATGTGAACAGATTCCCACCCCAACCTTGCCTAGAGCAGCCAGGAGGCATCAGAGGGTAGAAAGAGAGAACCTTTGTGTCTCCCAGCTGACAGACGGAGGCAGGATCTTCACATTTATCACATACCTACCAGCAAGAGCTTGATAAAAGAGATGGGACTGTCTCTGTACCCTGCTGGTGCTCCTTGGTAGGAATCCCAACACTCTCCAAATAAAATATAGGGAAGAAAGGGGAAGTAAAGAATATAAGTTAGAATAGAATTGTAGAAAATTGGTAAGGGAAGCTATCAGAAATCAATGACCAATCAATGAAAATAAGAAGGAAGTTTTTAAAAGTATATTAAGTACAAATATAATCCTAACAATGGTAGTGGTAAATTACTAAACAGAAATGGCAGAATTATCAAAAAATAATGCAGAAGAGGTAAAAGTCTTCAATATTTCTCTCCTGAGTTTGGAAAAAAACAAATGATGTAGTCGTATCAGAAGATGTTGATTATGACACTCTTTCCATTCCAACAATAGCTCACGAGGACGTTAAACAGCAGCTATTAAAGTTAGAAATGTTTAAATAAGCAGGTCCAGATAACTTGTATCCAAGAGTTTTAAAAGACCTAGTGGAGGAGCATGGTGGACTGTTAATATTGATTTTAATTAGGACTTGGAACACTGGGGATATTCCAGAAGATTGGAATAAAGCTAATGATGTGCCAATATTTAAAAAGTGTAAAAGAGATGACCCTTGCTAATTACAAGAGTGTCAGTCTGACATTGATACTGGGCAAGATAATGGAGCAGCTGATACTGAAGTTCATTAACAAAGAATTAAAGAGGGTAATATAATTAGTACCCATTAACAAAGGTTTAGGGAAAATAGATCCTATCAAACTAACTGGACATCCTTATTGGATGAGATCAAAAGTTTGGCTGCAGCTAATAGTACTGATGTAATATACCTAGACTTCTGCAAGGCCTATGAATTGGTTCAGCACAATATTTGACTAAAAAACTAGAATGATACAAAATAAACACGGCATACATTAAATAGATTAAAAACCGTGATTGTAAATGGGGAACGATGGTTGAGTGGATTTATTTCTAGTGGGTTCCCACAAGCATTGGTTCTTAGCCCTGTGCTATTGAACAGTCTTATCAATAACCTAGAAGAGAATATAAAATCACTGATAAAGTTTGCAGTTGCCACAAAGATTAAGGGTGGTGGTAACTAATGAAGTGTCAGTAGATTCAGGCTGCAGCACTGGGTGTCTGGGAAGTTTTCCCAGCTCTGGCTGGGGGGTTATTTCCTGTTCCACAAGGAGTGGAAGTTCCATTCCCAACTCCTGTGCCTTGAAATTAGGCCCTATCTGACACTATGCCCCATATTCAGCATAGCAGTATGATTATAATAGGATTGGGACATAATTATGATGCATTTTGTGCAAGATGCAGCATGTACGGTGTCATTCGAGAAGTTATGATTTGCTGAATATGATTATCCTATTTGTGTGCATGGATCATGTTTGTATCTGAAGTTATGGATATTGACTATGTATCTGCATTTCCAATGTGCTTACTCTGGGTAACACCCACAACTACCCTTTCAAGTAAACAATGAAGAAGCTAGACAGTGCTGATGGCTCATTGGCACAGGCAATGGACCCTGTGGAAGAGCTGAGCCTTCCTGTGAATGTTTCAGGGCATGCAACAAGACCACATGACACTGAACTCCATTTTCGTACCTGTATTTTTCCACACACTGGACTGGAAACTGAGTTTGGAAGAAAGGGTTCCCACCATATGGAAAAGCTACCTAAGATGGGGTGTGACATCATCTCTTGGCCTCATTCCCCACACAAGAGAATTCCTGGAAACACCTGAGGAACAAAGACTGAACTGGGGGAAATGCTGGTCCCAGGGTAAAGGGATTTCTAGCTTGTGTATGGAAACTTGCAGGACTGCTTGTATCATCACTCAGGGTGAGAAATTGCTCATTCAAATTCTATCCATTTAGTATGTTAGCAAATAAGCAAAAACTCAAACTAAGCCTAAGTAATTTGCTTTGACCTGTTGGCTATCACTTATAATCACTTAAAATCTATCTTTCTGTAGTTAATAATCTTGTTTTATGCTTTATCTTAACCAGTGTATTTTGAGTGAAGTGTCTGGGGAAAATCTCAGCTTGGTTAGCTTGTTGTGTATATCTTTCCTATATTGAGGGGAAGGCGAATTATACATTATACAGCTCCCAGTGCACTGTAAGATGGTATAATTCTGGATTTATACAACAGCCGGTGTGCGAGGTTGGGGAGCTGGGAAATTGGCTGTTGTCTTCTATCTGTCCTTGAGTGGCTTACGTAAAGCACTCAGGTAGCTTAGTTGGGCGCATGATGCCAGTTGCTGTTGTGTTGGGTGATAAGAGGGCCTGGAGAGTCTGGCTGAATCTCCAGCAAAGCAGTGTGAGAAGGGCAGACCAGCCTGAGGGTTAGAGAGCATAACAATTCCCAGAAGTCCGCCCAAACTGCGCCCCGGGGGTGAAAACCCATCACACCCTAGATTACACAAGTCTCAGCAGGTTTGTCACATCCTGTCCCCTCCCTTTCTCCACCCTAGATATTTCCTGCCTCCCACCACCTCCAGCAGCTCCCATCCTCCTATGCATTTACTGCTCCCCTCCCTCCAAGCAGAGCCCACCACCAGCTCCCTGATGATCCCTTACCTGAGCCAGCTCCATTGCAGCCATTTCCTTCCCCCGGGAGGATGGGATGATCTGGAGCAAAACGTGGACGCTATTCTGTAGCCTGCCAGGGCGAGAAGGGAATGTGAGAGAATTCAGACAGGGATTTTGTCCATTCCACAAGCCGATTCACCCCAGGATTTTTCCCTGCTAATGGACATTCTAGGTTCTGCCACGCTGCGAAGCACAGAGTGACCTTATTCCAGTACAGGCCTAGCCCCCTCCCACCAGGGTGGAACCCTCTGAGACATGGTGAAACCCTCCCAGTAACAGAGTCTCTCTGTTACATTTATCAAGTTTGCGGACTATGCCAAGCCCGGAGGGTTGCAAGTGCTTTGGAGGGTAGGATTCAAATTCAAAATGATTTGAACAAACTGGAGAAATGTTCTGAAGTAAATAGGATGAAATTCAAAAAGGACAAATGCAAAGTACTCCACTTAGGAAGGAACAATCAATTGCACAGGTTTAAAACAGGAAATGACTGTCTCGGAAGGAGTACTGTGGAAAGGGACCAGGGAGTCATAGTGGATCACAAGCTAAATATAAGTCAATAGTGTAACGCTGTTGCAAAAAAAGCAAACATCGTTCTGGGATGTATTAGCAGAAGTATTTTAAGCAAGACACGAAAAGTAATTCTTCCTCTCTATTCTGTGGTGATTAGGCCTCTACTGGTGTATTGTGTACAGTTCTGGGTACCACATTTCAGGAAAGATGTGGACAAATTGGTGAAAGTCCAAAGAAGAGAAACAAAAATGATGAAAGGTCTAGAAAACATGACCTATGAGGAAAGATTGAAAAACTTGGGTTTGTTTAGTCTGGAGAAGAGAAGACTGAGAGAGAACATGATCACAGTTTTCAATTACATAAAAGGTTGTTAAAAGGAGAAGGGAGAAAAATTGTTCTTCTTAACCTCTGAGGATAGGACAAGAAGCAAGGGGCTTAAATTGAAGCAAGGGCAGTTTAGGTTGGACATTAGGAAAAACTTCCTAACGGTCAGAGTGGTTAAGGACTGGAATAAATTGCCTAGGGAGGTTGTAGAATCTCCATCCTTGGGGATTTTTAAGAGCAGGCTGAACAAATACCGGTCACGGATGATCTAGATAAAACTTAGTCCTGCCTTGAGTGCAGGGAACTGGACTAGATGACCTCTTGAGGTCACTTCCAGTTCTGTGATTCTATGAACCAAAGGCCAGAGAAGAGCAGAATGAAAGTCGTCACTTTGTGGGATTCTCCTTGTCATTTTTCCCAATGCAGCTGTCTCAGGTTTACAAAGTTGTTTGATACTCCAGCCTTTATACAGTCTCTTCTGGGAGTGCCCCCTTTCGTGGGTTGGGCCTAGTTTTAGCTTTTCGCAAGTGTGATCCTGGGGGCTCTGAGACTGGGCCTTCTTGCCTCAGCACACCTTGTTTCTTTCTGTGGCTCCCCAGTGAGTCCAAATGAGTAGATACTCCTGATAGAGACTGTGAACATAAGAACGGCCCACTGCGTCAGACCAATGGTCTATCTAGTTCAGTGGCCAATGCCAGGTGCTTCGGAGGAAATGAACAGAACAGGTCATCATCAAGTGATCCATCCCCTGTCACCAATTCCCAGCTTCTGGCAAACAGAGGTTAGAGACGCCATCCCCACCCATCCTGCCTGTGACACTGGCAGATGAGGTGTTGGCTCTTGCAAAAGCCCCCATGTCTTAATTGAACATGGACAAACGCAGAGCTGGAATCAGTTTGGCTCACCTATGTTAGTATTGTTAGAACAGGTATGAGAATTATAAGAATGTGTTTAGGGTTTAGGCTTTATTGAATGCTTGTGAGTTGCCACCTGGGTTAATATCTGACTCGCTGCATTGTGAGCCTCTGTAGCTCTGTAAATCAGCGAACAGGAGAGAGACTTTACCTGTGTGAAGTGCTGTCAACTGAATGTATTATATGTTGCCAGCCAGGAAAGGTCCATCAACACCAGATAGACTATTATGGGATGTTAAAAAAGGCAAAAGACTGTTGTTGTGCTCTTGACTTCCCATTAGCTGAGTTTTCAGCTCAGAGCACATGGCAGGAAGGGGATAAAAAACCCCATACAGAAGGAACCGATTATCTGTATGCTGCTTGGGCTCTGCGGGGCAAAGTTTCTAGGCATAAGCAAGCGATCCCCAGCTACTTAGCCTGGGTTAGTCCTAAAGAATATGTAGAGCTTGCTTATTATAGAAGCTTCTATTATCTTTTGAAATTTAAGACTGTAACTTGTCTGCATCTATAGGATTACCTGCTTTAACTTTGTAAACAACTCGTTTCCTTTTAAATAATCTTAATATAGGTAATTACATGAATGGTTACAAGTGTTCTCTTTGTTGTGAGATTGAAGATTCAATTGACCAAGTAAGTGCCTGGTCCTTTGGGACTGGCAATAACCTGAAAATTGCTGTGATTCGTGGTGTAAGGCAGTGGTTCTAAACCAGGGGTCTGGAGCTCTGTGGGGGACCATGAGCAGGTTTCAGGGGGGACAGCAAGCAAGGCTAGCATTAGATTCAGAGGCCCAGGACAGAAAGCTGAAGTCCTAGTGTATGGGGCTGAAATCTGGGGCCCTCAACCCCACCACCTGGGGCTGAAGACAAAGCCTAAGCAATGCAACTTTGGGGGGGCCTGTGTCATGGGGCCCCAGGCAGCTGCCCTGCTTGCTAGCCCCTTACGTCAGCCCTGGCTTTTATATGCAGAAAACCAGTTATTTTGGCCCACATGGTCAAAACATGCGTATTTTATAGCATGTTGGGGGGGCCTCAGAAAGTAAAAGGTTGAAAACTCCTGGTGTAAGGGACCATCTGTCACAAAGGTGAGCTCAGCTGCGTGGTGAGATCTATGGGATGGCCCAAGGGGACTGTCTGTGATTCCATGTTCATGCTGTTACAGTGCCTGAAGCATTTCCACTTGATACTTAATTGGTGAAATCTACATATCGACCTCAACCAATCTGGGGTTTGTGCCCTGGTTCTTACCAGTCTGCCTGAGGCTGGTGCTCATGCTCTCGAGACACTGAAGACAGCGTTACAGAGACTTATGGGAGCAACGCCATCAGCAGCAATTTGCAGGAATGCAGAGCAGGCTTTACAGTGGCACAGTGTGGGCCAAATGGTTCATAGACTCATCCAAGCTCCAGTTCTCCTCCAGTGCACATCAGCATCCCGGCAACCTTCAAGGAGGGTCAAGGCTGCCACTCCCTCAGTGATGATGGATGTCCAGCATAGCATCACCCGCACCCCATGACCCACCTTAACTCCTGAGACAGAGGGTGCACAACTGATCCTGGGGTGGGGGAGGAAGAGGGAGGGAGGGAAAGGAATAACAAAACACACCTTCTGGGGGTCACCCCTCAGGAAGTGAAGGTGACAGGCATTGTGGTGGCAGTAAAGGGGGAGGGGAGGGAGTGGGAGCAGCACCCTCAAAGGCAATACTGCCAGTGCGTCGTCCCACCACATCAGGCATGGGGCTGATAGGGTGCCATTCCCTGGGCCTGGGTGCCTGTTAAGGGCTATATAAACCCCAAGCTAGCACAGAAGCGGTTAAACTGCTGCTTTAGTCTGGACTGGCCCAGCCCCTCCAAACCTGCAAACCATGCCAGGACTGGAGCAGGAGTTAAAAGGAGAGATCTACTCTACTCAAAGGGGAGCAACCTTGGGAAGGGAAGAGTCTGTGGAGCATCTCCAGCCCAAGAGAGAGGGCTGACACCATTCGGGGCTTTGGCCTTCACCAAGGGAGGGTGGGGATCCCCAGAACTCAAAGGAGGAGTAGGCTGCAACTTGCGCTGGAGACCCAGTAAACTCTGAAGGTAACTGAGACACTCCCACAGCCCCCAGAAGTAAGAGAGGCCCACATCCTGATGGGATCTGTTCACAGCGTTTTCTCCTCTATTTTCTTTCATTCCTTTATTTATCCTTGTTTGCTGACAGTTGGCTCTTTTGCTGTTTCACCTGGTACCCAAGAGAAGAAGAAAGTGCCCCTAGGCCTCAACGAGAGGGTGGAGCCCTGACGCACTAGAAGGACATGCTCCTGTAGCACCCCTAGGACAGGGGCAATTGGACTCACAGAGGTGCACCCCAGAAGGCCTGAGGCCTAGCACTTTGGCACCAGTTTGATGGGCTGGATGGCCTCTCACTGGGGGCTGCAAAAAGCCTGGCACATGGAGTAGATACGGGGTGGCCTGGGGAGCAGGAAGCAGGGCAGCACCCCAGACAGCACACCGAGAAGGGAAATGGAGAGGGGAGGAGGGGCACTGCAGTGAACTCAGCACCCGTCCTGAAGGCCATTGGCAGAAAGTATTCGTCTCCCTGGCTTGGTCATTTCCAGCAGCTCTCACCTGAAACATGACAAACCCATTACACCAAACATCTCTTAGAGGGTATTTCATAAACGCATAGAATATCAGGGTTGGAAGGGACCTCAGGAGGTCATCTAGTCCAACCCCCTGCTCAAAGAAGGACCGATCCCCAATTAAATCATCCCAGCCAGGGCTTTGTCAAGTCTGACCTTAAAAACTTCTAAGGAAGGAGATTCCACCACCTCCCAAGCTAACGCGTTCCAGTCTTTCACCACCCTCCTAGTGAAAAAGTTTTTCTAATATCCAACCTAAATCTCCCCCACTGCAACTAGAGACCATTACTCCTTGTTCTGTCATCTGCTACCACTGAGAACAGTCTAGAGCCATCCTCTTTGGATCCACCTTTCAGGTAGTTGAAAGCAGCTATCAAATCCCCCCTCATTCTTCTCTTCCGTAGACTAAACATTCCCAGTTCCCTCAGCCTCTCCTCATAAGTCATGTGTTCCAGTCCCCTAATCATTTTTGTTGCCCTCCGCTGGACTCTTTCCAATTTTTCCACATCCTTCTTGTAGTGTGGGGCCCAAAACTGGACACAGTACTCCAGATGAGGCCTCACCAATGTCGAATAGAGGGGAACGATCACGTCCCTCGATCTGCTCGCTATGCCCCTACTTATACATCCCAAAATGCCATTGGCCTTCTTGGCAACAAGGGCACACTGCTGACTCATATCCAGCTTCTCGTCCACTGTCACCCCTAGGTCCTTTTCCGCAGAACTGCTGCCTAGCCATTCGGTCCCTAGTCTGTAGCTGTGCATTGGGTTCTTCCGTCCTAAGTGCAGGACCCTGCACTTATCCTTGTTGAACCTCATCAGATTTCTTTTGGCCCAATCCTCCAATTTGTCTAGGGCCCTCTGTATCCTATCCCTACCCTCCAGCGTATCTACCTCTCCTCCCAGTTTAGTGTCATCTGCAAACTTGCTGAGGGTGCAATCCACACCATCCTCCAGATCATTTATGAAGATATTGAACAAAACTGGCCCCAGGACCGACCCTTGGGGCACTCCCCTTGATACCGGCTGCCAACTTGACATGGAGCCACTGATCACTAGTCCATTCATCCAGCCCATACTTCAATTTGCTGACAAGAATACTGTGGGAGACCGTGTCAAAAGCTTTGCTAAAGTCAAGGAACAACACATCCACTGCTTTCCCCTCATCCACAGAGCCAGTTATCTCATCATAGAAGGCAATTAGATTAGTCAGGCATGACTTGCCCTTGGTGAATCCATGCTGACTGTTCCTGATCATTTTCCTCTCTAAGTGCTTCAGAATTGATTCCTTGAGGACATGCTCCATGATTTTTCCAGGGACTGAGGTGAGGCTGACCGGCCTGTAGTTCCCAGGATCCTCCTTCTTTCCTTTTTTAAAGATTGGCACTACATTAGCCTTTTTCCAGCCTTCTGGGACTTCACCCGATCGCCATGAGTTTTCAAAGATAATGGCCAATGGCTCTGCAATCACATCCGCCAACTCCTTTAACACTCTCGGATGCAACTCATCCGGCCCCATGGACTTGTGCATGTCCAGTTTTTCTAAATAGTCCCTAACCACTTCTTTCTCCACAAAGGGCTGGGCACCTCCTCCCCACGCTGTGCTGCCCAGTGCAGCAGTCTGGGAGCTGACCTTGTTCGTGAAGATAGAGGCAAAAAAAAAAGCATTGAATACATTAGCTTTTCCCACATCCTCTGTCACTAGGTTGCCTCCCTCATTCAGTAAGGGGCCCACACTTTCTTTGGCTTTCTTCTTGTTGCTAACATACCTGAAGAAACCCTTCTTGGTACTCTTAACATCTCTTGCTAGCTGCAACTCCAGGTGTGATTTGGCCTTCCTGATTTCACTCCTGCATGCCCGAGCAATATTTTTATACTCATCCCTGGTCATTTGTCCAATCTTCCACTTCTTGTAAGCTTCTTTTTTGTATTTAAGATCAGCAAGGATTTCACTGTTAAGCTAAGCTGGTCGCCTGCCATATTTACTATTCTTTCTACACATCGGGATGGTTTGTCCCTGTAGCCTCAATAAGGATTCTTTAAAATACAGCCAGCTCTCCTGGACTCCTTTCCCCCGCATATTATTCTCCCAGGGGATCTTGCCCATCAGTTCCTTGAGGGAGTCAAAGTCTGCTTTTCTGAAGTCCAGGGTCCGTATTCTGCTGCTTTCCTTTCCTCCTTGTGTCAGGATCCTGAACTCGACCATCTCATGGTGACTGCCTCCCAGGTTCCCATCCACTTTAGCTTCACCTACTAATTCTTCCCGGTTTGTGAGCAGCAGGTCAAGAAGAGCTCTGCCCCTAGTTGGTTCCTCCAGCACTTGCACCAGGAAATTGTCCCCTACATTTTCCAAAAACTTCCTGGATTGTCTGTGCACTGCTGTATTGCTCTCCCAGCAGATATCAGGGTGACTGAAGTCTCCCATCAGAACCAGGGCCTGCAATCTAGTAACTTCTGCAAGTTGCCAGAAGAAAGCCTCGTCCACGTCATCCCCCTGGTCCGGTGGTCTATAGTAGACTCCCACCACTACACCACTCTTGTTGCTCATACTTCTAAACTTAATCCAGAGACTCAGGTTTTTCTGCAGTTTCATACTTGAGCTCTGAGCAGTCATACTGATCTCTTACATACAGTGCAACTCCCCCACCTTTTCTGCCCTACCTGTCCTTCCTGAACAGCTTATATCCATCCATGACAGTACTCCAGTCATGTGAGTTATCCCACCAAGTCTCTGTTATTCCAATCACATCAAAATTCCTTGACTGTGCCAGGCCTTCCAGTTCTCCCTGCTTGTTTCCCAGGCTTCGTGCATTTGTATATAGGCACTTGAGATAACCCGCTGATCGCCCCTCGTTCTCAGTATGAGGTAGGGGCCCTCCCCTCTCGCGCGCTCCTGCTCGTGCTTCCTCCCGGTATCCCGCTTCCCCACTTACCTCAGGGCTTTGGTCTCCTTCCCCCGGTGAACCTAGTTTAAAGCCCTCCTCACTAGGTTAGCCAGCCTGCTTGCGAAGATGCTCTTCCCTCTCTTCGTTAGGTGGAGCCCGTCTCTGCCTAGCACTCCTCCTCCTTGGAAAATCATCCCGTGGTCAAAGAATCCAAAGCCTTCTCTCCGACACCACCTGCGTAGCCATTCGTTGACTTCCACGATTCGACGGTCTCTATCCAGGCCTTTTTCTTCCACGGGGAGGATGGCGAGAACACCACTTGCGCCTCAAACTCCTTTATCCTTCTTCCCAGAGCCACGTAGTCTGCAGTGATCCGCTCAAGGTCATTCTTGGCAGTATCATTGGTGCCCACGTGGAGAAGCAGGAAGGGGTAGCGATCTGAGGGCTTGATGTGTCTCGGCAGTCTCTCCGTCACATTGCGAATCTTAGCTCCTGGCAAGCAGCAGACTTCTCCGTTTTCCCAGTCGGGGCGGCAGATAGATGGACAGATTTATCCATAAGGGAGAGCATGTGAGGCTGTAACAAAGTGGGTGTTGCCTGTGAGTCTTACTGTCCTATACTAAAACTGTGTGTACCTCAGTTTCCCAGTGTACTGCACCCAAAACTTCAGTGGTAGGAACTGGGTGTATAATTTTTGCTGAGCCCTCGGGGCAGGTGAAGCGTCCAGCTTCCTGCACTTATGTAACCTGAGACCCAGGAGAGGGGTGAGACCAGGTGACACCTTTTGCCCAGGAAGTGAGACACGGAGATGGAGGAGGAGCAACAGGGGGGTGTCGGAGGTCGGGTCATTGAAAGTGGGCAGTCTGCACGGGGGGACTAGAAAAGGGGGAGTCCAAGGCATCTGTCCCAGGACTCCCAAGCTGGACTTGCCTGAAAGTCACTGATTTCTGTGATAGCAAGCTCTGTTCTACGCTGTGTTCCTGTCACCTAATAAACCTTGTGTTTTACTGGCTGGCTGAGAATCATGTCCGACTGCAGAGTTGGGGTGCAGGACCCTCTGGTTTCCCCAGGAACCCCATCTGGGCAGACTCGCTGCAGGAAGCACACACTGTGGAAGGGGGATGCTGAATGCTCTGAGGTCAGACCCAGGAAGGTGAAAGCTGTGGAAGCTTCTGCCCTGGAGACAGTCTGCTCAGAGAGAGGAGGCTTCCCCAGAGTCCTGATTGGCTTCATACAGAGTAGTTCTAGAGCATTGATGTGGTGACTCTGTGACAAAGGCATCTACGAAAAGCTCATAACTGGTCAAGACTCATAATGACTGAGAGATCAACATATGGGTCGTATGTAAGGAACAAAGTATTTATATTGAAAATCTACTTTATGGATTTGGAATGGAAATCAAATCACCAAGAGATAATGGGCCCCAGGATTGGCCCATCCACCCAAGAGGGAGCAGCCACCAATGTTCCCTCTAATTTTTTCCATCCACGTGCGGAATGAATTTTGTTATGTGCTCCACCAATATTGAGGTAATGTGTGGATGTGCGCCACCAGTACAAACAAAAACCCTAGATATAATGTATATTTTTAAACAGTTCATAGGTATGGAAGAAGAAGAAAGAATATTAAAACAAGGGATAATTATCAAGGTGCACTGCTCAAGATATGTATTTAGTATGAAATCAAATAAAAAGAAAATTGACACTGCCCTTGGAGTACATGTACTGGATACTGGAAAGGAGAGCAGAAGGTATTCACTCAGGCTTATACCATTTCTATGGGATGTCAATTCTTAATTTGATGAATACTTCACACACATAGAACAGTAAAAAGAAGTAATAAAGCTACACAGACAGCAAACAAAACCCCAAACAAACAAGTGACAACACTGAAAACACAAAGAGAAGTAAAACATCAACTGGTCAGTTATAGGTATTTTAAATGAGTGTTTAGGACCCACGCTGTGCAAGTTCAACAGAGCCCTGTAGAAACAGGCAAAGTTCTCCTGTTTTCACATGGACGGACACACACACACACACTCAAAATCTCAGAGTAGAAGCCCTGGAGCACATTAACACATGGTTTTGGAGTTTGCAGACAGATCCCTGCTTCAAAGAGCTTGCAAATAAGGTCTTCATCCTACAAAACACCTAGCACCACACCTTGTGCTTTCTACTTCTGAGTCAATGGAGTACTCGGAAGAGCCAGACCTCTACCAGACAGCAAAGATCTGGCCTTAATGGTTTCCAATACCTCTCCCGAGACAAATTCTAAAACTTAATGGAAATCACTTGTCTGGAATCCAACTCTAATCGCCAAACAAATAAAACTGGAAGAACTTTACCATGGATACTGTTTAACTACTTACCATGTATTAATTAGTAACAGGATATTTTTTTTAAAAAAATCATTAAGATCACAGTTTTCAGACACCTAAAACACGCTAAAAAATTATGTTGTTAAAAGAATCCTTGCCTCTCTTACCTTAAGCCATCAACACCTATATAAACTTTGTCTGAAATGTAACTGTGCCAATGTCACGAGCTAAGCCTAGCCACATGCTTTTGCTCCAGTATTCATTCACTAAAGCCCCAATCCTGCAAATGCCTATGCATGGATGCCCTCCAGAGGCATAACTGTTTGCAGGATCAGTATCTAAGAGAAAGTAAATAGCAAGAAACCAGCTTCTTAAAGCCACAACAATCAAAATAAAATCACAGATGTATTTCTTTTAACCTTGGATTGCTGTAATTTACCCATAAGATCACTACAACAGAAAGATCGAAGTGTTTTTTTCAGTTTGTTCAGTGTGTGGACTGGACAGCAGTTTACAGCCTGATCCTGCACTTAAGACCTCACTGCAATCTAATCTGCAGTCTGCACTCTTTAAAAATACTCATATAACTTCCTCAGAACTCTAGGAAGAGGACAGATTATTAACACATATCTACAAAAGCAGCCTAAATGCTTTACAATAAAAAAACAAAACAAAAATACACCAACACAAGTCAGATTCTGCATTAAGATCTGCTAATGCAGAATCCCTCTGCCCTCTTTACCTCTCTGCTCTGGATCTGTCTCCCTCCAATCAAACTAAATCTTAGTCCAGTCTTTCTCACATCTCTGGCAGATGTCCACCAGCTGTCAACTGAAACGCAATATGGCCCAAAGCAAGCTCTTCATCTTTCCCTGCTGATACTAGGTGAAAAATATTTTGGTATAGAACTGCAGAGGAGTCACTGTTTTGTGTTTGCTCTATAATTCTAAACAGTGGAAAATAGCGGGGGTGCCACATTATTCCTTCCCCATCAGATTATTCCTGGCATATTTCAGATCTTGTAATTATATCAATAATCAGGTGGTAATTAATACCAGCTCCTCACCCCAGACTCATAGTTACCACAACAACAAGAAAAGGCAAGATGTGCTTGGACTGACCTTGCTCTGATGCACTAATCAGACAATGGAGTTTCCCCAGCACCCCACCCCCCATGTAGCCACATCCCCTGCATGCCCCAAAATGCCAGCAACCTGCTCAAAATCTTGGCACCCCACCCCGTGCAGCCTGCTCTGACCAGTCCCTCCACCCCCCGTGCAGCCTGCTCCCCCAGCCCAGCCTGGGGCTGGAAGACAGTCCTTTCTCTCCCCGGCACCAGCAGCTGCAGCCCAGCTCGGGCTGCTGAGAGAGTCTGACTCTCTCCTCTCCCTGCAGCAGCCCGGCTGGAAGTCAGGACACCCCAAACTCCTCACCCCACCTACCCCCTACTTCCCCCATCACCTCACCTTCTTCCACATCCTCTCCAGGGTCCAGGAGGCACCTAATTAGTGGACTCATATCTGCGCAGCTCCACTAATTAGGTACTGTCAAGGTTCCTTCCCCACTCTGAACTCTAGGGTACAGATGTGGGGACCTGCATGAAAGACCCCCCCAAGCTTATTTCTACCAGGTTAGGGTAAAAATTCCCCAAGGCACAAAGTCTTTGCCCTTGGATTAGGTAAACGCTGCCACCACCAAGTGCTTTAACAAACAATCAGGGAAAGGACCACTTAGAGTTCCTATTTCCCCAAAATATCTCCCCAAGCCCTTCCACCCCCTTTCCTGGGGAGGCTTGAGAATAAACAAGATGAGCACAGACCAGCCTTGGATTTTTAAGACCCCAAAAAACCCAGTCAGATTCTTAAAAACAGAACTTTATTAGAAGAACAAAAAAAGATAAGAGAACAACTCTGTAAGATCAGAATGGAAGATAATCTTACAGACAGTCAGATTCAAAACATAGAGAATCCCTCTAGGCAAAACCTTAAGTTACAAAAAGATATGAAAACAGGAATACACATTTCCTCCAGCACAGCGAATTTCACAAGCCAAAACAAAGAAAACCTAACGCATTTTCTAGCTAGATTACTTACTAACTTTACAGGAGTTTGAGGGCTTGCATCCTTGATCTGTTCCCAGCAAAGGTATCACACAGACAGACAAAAGCCTTTTTCCCCCACTCCAGATTTGCAAGTATCTTGTTCCCCCATTGGTCATTGTGGGTCAGGTGCCAGCCAGGTTACCTGACCTTAACCCTTTAGAGGTAAAAGGATTTTGCCTCTGGCCAGGAGGGATTTTATAGCACTGTATACAGAAAGGTGGTTACCCTTCCCTTTATATTTATGACAGGTACGCAGCCCTTCATTCCCTCGTGCGCGGCCGTCCAGGTGCGTACCTTAAAGGGAACTATGGTTGTCACTCCTCACTAGTCAGTTAGCAAGGTAATGCAACACTCAAGTGACCAACCTTGCTCCCTCCCACATGTGTAACTCACACCTTGCACTAACATAACCTGCTCACTCCCATCTCTTCTCCCTATAACTCCGAGTCCTAGAGCTGCTGCTGTCATTAATGCACACAGGCTTTCACTCCTGTTAATGCTGGAAAGACCTAATCCAGGGACAGGACTGAACCCTTATTTTCTCATCTCATAGGACAGTCTCAGCTGAGGGGGAGGTGAGAGGGGGAACAGGTATAAAGGGAAAAGCGTTGTTGTAGCCATGTTAGTCCCAGGATATCAAAGAGAGGGATTTTTAATTGGTTCTAAATGAAATTCCCTCACCCACCTTGTCTCTGCAAGAGATCTGAAAGTGCCAGAACAAAAACAGGAAGACAGAGCTCAGGACTCTAAAGCAACCATTTTCAATCCTCTGGAAGAAACTACATTTCCCATCTGCGCACAGAGTGTTTGTATCCTATATGAGGGACCACCCCATTCCTCTCACAGCAACAAGGGGAGACTGCAGCCAGCCCCAAAGAGTCGTTCCCCACCCTGGGATGTGAAAGATCCTTGTGCCTTCAGTTCCACACTGGCGAACGGCGTTTACGAGTACTCCCTCCCCAGGGCAGCCAGGGATAATTAGTGGGTTATGGGAATTAGAAAATGAAAATTCATTAAGAACAATATTTTTGTGTTTATTATTAAATTCCCAGACACCCACCAATCCCCGTCCTCCTTCCGATGAGCTATAAATATGTGAGGGACTCAGCTCCTGATCCTGCAGTGAGTTTCTGCCCCTCCCCACATTCTCTAGCAGCA